GGAGGAGGCGGAGTAGGAGGAGGAGGAGGAGGAGGAGGAGGAAGAGGAGGAGGAGGAGGATGATGATCATGATGATGAGGAGGAGGAGGGGGAGGAGGACGTTAGAATATTGACATTCTTGAGCGACATTCCTTCGCCTGTGTGCAAGTAGAGGTTGGCGATGTTAAGCGGTAGCCATCCTGGGACTTCTGGCAATGCATGTTGTGCCCGATGTGGCGCCAGCTCGCTCCCAAAATATATGGCCCCGTTCCCCTTCGACTGCCCTTCCGCGGGGCTGTCCCCAGGATGAACCCGGCAATGCAATGCAACTCCTTCGCGAGCGAAGATCGTTCACCCTGCCGGCGGCTTCTTGCCTTCGGTAGCCGCGCCTGGGACCGTCAGCACGCTCCACCTGTGAATACTCGCCCACGTACTTAGAGCTTCACATTTCCAGCCGGGATATCCAATCTCCTGCACCAGGACGATGAGGGACTGCGACTGTAGCAATATTTTCTTCAACTTCTTCTTTTCTTGTTTGGCATTGCACGTCTCGATGAAGTGCGACCCTGTTGCTCGCGTCGGCGGTGGCAGCGTCGACGAGAGACATCTCTTGACGCGCATCTGCTGACATCAGGCATCCGCCGCACATGATTCGGTTCGTCAGAGTCCTGTGTTCGCAGCTGCCCCGCCATCCAGCCTTTGGTGCTTGGTGCTCTGGATGTTGGCGACCACATCTGCCAATCGTTCAGCGCTGACCTCAGTAGCTTCTCCGTTGTGAAACACTGCTTTGTGCACTTCCTCCACGCCCTCTTTTTTCCAACAGGAAAACGGTACAGTCGGGGCGCTGAAGAAGGAACCCTTTTCGTTGGGGAGGGGCTCGGTGCTCCTTGATTGTTTCACAGCTTGCCTCAGGTTTTCCGTAGGTTTTCGATGCGGAATCGGAGTTTCACTTATGGAGAATAGGGGCCTCGTTCCTTATTGAGGGTTCCTTAGGTCAGCGTCCCGACTGTACTGCGCTTTGTCTCCCCGCGACTGCTTCCAACAGGGATGTCGGCCCCACCGCTCTCGCACTGCGCCGCAGCCCGAACAGGTGGCTCACGAGCAGCAGGAGGTACAGGAGGAGGAGGAGGAGGAGGAGGAGGAGGTACAGGAGGAGGAGGAGGAGGCACGTATACTTGGCCTTTGCCAGGTTTGCCGCCATGTCCCTCCTGTAGACCTCCTTCGTCTTTCCGACGTGCGGTTTCGAGTGGGAAGGTTGGTGGAACTTGATGGGGTCGGGATCATATTTGGGTCCACTGCTTTCGGGGTCGAGCAGCAGCATGTCCACGGGAACCTCGACCATCTCGTCGGTGGTTTTGCTTCCACTGAGCTTGGCCGCGTGTTCCGCAATTTCATGGCTGAGAGCCCTCTTGTCGCCTCTCTTGCTCTCCAGGAAGTTGTTCTTCTCATCCAGCTCTTTCTGCTCTTTAGCCAACTCTTGCTCGAGCGAATCAATATCGATCTTCGCCGTGCCAATCTGCTTCTGAACGCGCTCCAGCTTCTGCGAGCACTACTTGTGGGCCGTAGCAGGTGCTCGCATCTCCTTGATCTGCAACCTGGTTGTCTCAGGCTATGTGCGGATGCTGCCCACCAGGCCAGTCTCGCCGATGCCGGTGTACATCTTGATCGTCTGCTCATGCTTGCTGATCTTGTCCTGCAGCTCGGTGAGGAGGAGGAGGAGGAGGAGGAGGAGGGAAATGACCCAGGACGAGAAACAGGGTAGGTCGAGACCTCCTTGGGGCCGACGACACGACAAGAACATGACGTCGGGGGTCTCCGAGGCCTGCCCCCATCGCTCTCCTCCCCCTCGTCGGCGCGCCGCCGCTCGTCGCCCTGGTCGCTCTCGGGGCCCCTCTCTGGGCTAGCCGGAGGGGCCTAGAGTCGAGGCGCTTTCGGAGCGTGCCCGGGACACCCCTCCTCCCTCCTCCTCCTCCTCCTCCTCTCCTCCTCCTCCTCCTTCCTCTCCTCTCCTCCTCCTCTCCTCCTCCTCCCATCTCCCTCCTCCCTCCTCCTCCTCCCTCCCAACTCCCAACTCCCAAGTCCCAACTCCCTCCTCCTCTCCTTCTCCCCCTCCTTCTCCTCCTCCTCATGCTCCTCCTCCACCTCCTCCTCTTCCTCCTCCTCCGCCTCCTCCGTTCCTTTTCCTTATAGATATCATCTCCTTGCCGCACCCCGAGGCCAGTTTTTACCCTGGCGCTAAAACTTCAAATTGGCAACAGCTTCGCATATGGAGGGCGGGTGGTTTTCAAAAAGTGGTTCTCGCCTTAGCGCCGCGCGCACTCGCTAGAGTGAAACATTCGCACGAGATTCACGGATTGAGGCTGGCTCTTTTTCAAGTTGTGGTTTTCGTCTCAGCGCCACGTACATTCGTTTAAAAACATTTGCGAGAGTTGCACGGATTGAGGGCGGGTGATTTTCAAAATGCGGTTCTCGCTTTAGCGCCGCGCACATTCGCTATAAAGATCTGCACGAGCTTCACGGATTGAGGCCGGCTCCTTTTCAGAATGTGGTTCTCGCCTTAGCGCCGCGCACATTTGTTTAAACAAAAAGCGAGACTTTCACGGATTCCCATGATCAACGTAAGAGAATGGCGTTCTGGCACGATTCAGCTTCGTCAAGACGCAACAGTCAAGTTGATCAGTTGCGTTGGAATCCCGGAAACAATATTTTGGCACGCTTCAGGGTCTTCAAATGGTCGCCTTTCAACGAGGCAGTTCGTTCTGTGGAAACGAACCTTTGTGCGGGCCTCTGAAGAACGAGATTGGAGGGAGAGATGTTTCCAACATCATTGATGTTTTGTTTGATTTACACTGGTCCTCCTCCTCCTCCATTTCCTTCTCCGCCTCCTCCTCATCATCATCATCATCGTCCTCCTCCTCCTCCATTTCCTCCTCCTCCTCCTCCTCCTCCTCCTCCTCCTCTTCCTCCTCCTCCTCCTCCTCCTCCTCCTCCTCTTCCTCCTCCTCCTCCTCCCACGCTCTGCAACGGCCGCGGCGCCCGACGAATCCTCCGACAAAAACCCCGCCGCCGCTCCGAGACCTCCGAGGCCCATCGCTCCGATCCTGCCCCGATTCCGCCGTCGTCTTGCCCGAGGGCCCAGATCCTTGGCATCGCTCGGACGTGAGCATTTTTTCTTCGGCGAGGACCATCGAGGAGCATCCTTGATCATTTGGCGAAAAATAGCCACGCACGGAACCGAACAAAAGCACGGGGAATGGACGTCCGAGCGATGGCGAGGGTCCCGCACGGCTGCCAGGGGGAGCCAGCCCAGGCCACAGCGCCGGGCCTGCCGCTTCCCCAGGCCGCCCTGGGCGCCCCTGGCGCCAGGCGCGCGGCCGCCGCACGTGGCAGTCCTCAGCTGTTCCGAAGGCCAGCAAGACATCCGAGGACGGGGATTGCGCACCGAGGCTGTCGAGCGCTGATCCAAACAGATCCCCTCGCGGCGTGCCGAGATCACGAGGGAGGTTTTTGGCCACTTTCGGCCTCTGGGGGCCCTCGCCAGGCCCCGGGACGGTCCAACGTCGAGTCAGGACGGCAAGGCGGCCCTGGGAAGGGGTCGAGACCTCCCGGAGTCGACGTGGCGAAAGAATCACGCCTCTTAGGGGGTCTGAGGCAAGGGCGACAAGGGGGAGGGGGGGGCCTCCGCTGAGGCCAGGGGCGCCGACAGTTTCGGACGTCTCCGTCGCTTCACGGAGGCTTTCCATGCTCTCGCCGTGCTTTCCTGCAAGTGCGCCTCGCCGACAGGGCGTTCCAGCGGTGCCCGAGAGTCTCCCGGAACGGCCGCCAGAGATGAGAGAGTGCTCCGAGCGCCGGTCCTTTGCCGCCTGGGGAGCCGATCGAAATGGGGGAGTCGTCGTCGTCGTCGTCGTCGTCGTCGCCGTCGCCGTCGCCGTCGCGACCACGGGAAGCGGTGGCTGTGGACACATCTCAAAGCACCGAGTCGTCAGGGCTGGGGGCGGTCAGGGGTAGCTGCAGACTCGCGCCTCGGGGGCCCAACCCGGAGTTACTCCAGACCTCAGTTATCCCCGGATAGCCCAGACATCGGGCGTCTCGAAGAAATCGAGGCGGAGGCGTTTCGTCGTTTTCGGTCTCTCGGGGCCCTCGCCGGGCCTCGGGACCGTCAAAAAACGGCTCGGGGCGCGACGCCGGTCCAGGGGAAGTGGTCGAGATGTCGGGGGCCCGTGTCTCGAAGAAGTCGAGAGGTCGGGCTGTCTCTCGGCATCGCTCGGACGTGTGCATTTTTTTATTCGTCGAGGACCATCGAGGAGCATCCTCGATCATTCGGCGAAAAAGCCACGCACGAAACCGAAAAAAACGTAGGGAATGGACGTCCGAGCGATGGCCAGGTCTGGGATGTCGGGCGTCTGACCCTTCTCAATCATCGGGGCCTGGGGGCAGTCAGGGTTCACTGCACCTTCGCGCCTCGTGGGCCCAGACCCGAGTGACTCCAGACCGCAGTTATTCAGGAGGGGAACAAAGAACACACACAGACACAATGAATCGTCGACTCCGCAGAAAATATGGGAACATATGGGAAGTGGGGGGGAAAGCAGAAACCCAGAACATATAGGAAAATATGGGGAATATTTTGATTTGTGTGTATTTATTTGTGTGTCCTGGGGCCCCTTCAGTTATCCCGGATGGGTCTGGCGACCAGCCCTTCTCAATCATCGGGGCTGGGGGCAGTCCGGGGTAACTACATATTCGCGCCCCGGGGGCCCAAGCCCGAGCTACTCCAGGCCGCAGTTCTCCCGGATGGGTCGGGCGTCAAGACCCTCCCGAATCATCCAGGCTGGGAGCAGTCAGGGGTAACCACGCGCTCGCGCCTCGGAGGCCCACACCGGAGCTACCCCGGGCCGCAGTCATCCCGGAGACTTCGGGCGTCCAAGGACCCAGGTCCCCGACGTCACGACGTTTTACTCGCGACGTCGGCCCCAGAGGGCTGGACCCCTCCCCCCGGGACCAGTGCTTCATCTTGGGTTGCTTTTCAAGACGGCCCCGAGGCACGGCGAGGGCCTCCGGAGGCCGAAAGACAGCAAAAAACCTTCCGGGTGTTCGGGCCCCCCACCCCCAGGGGCCCCAAAAAGCATCCACATGCGCCGCGCCCTGGGATCTTCCTCCTCCTCCTCGTCCTCCTCCTCCTCCTTGTCGTCATTCTCCTCCTCCTCCTCCTCCTCCTCCTCCTCCTCCTCCTCGCTCCTCCTCCTCGCTCCTCCTCCCACCCTCCCTATCCAGGGAGACCGGCTCCCACCGTGCGGGGGGCATCCATGAGCTCCGGCCTTGGCAGGCCCGCGCGGAGTGTCTCGGGGGGCCGCCGGAGACGATGCAGCAAAAATGTGGGCGACGCGTCGGGGGAGGAGAGTGAGGACCCCGGGATCCAACGTACACTGCCCTTTATTAATACATGCTCCGCGTGCGGATCATGTATTAAAAATGCAGAGATTCAGTATTAAAAACAACGATGAGTTCATGCATGAATTCATTCATACATTAATCATGTATGAAAAAAACCCAAATGTTGAGAAATCCAATGTATAAAAACTACCTTGTATTGAGCAAAAGCAAGGCGTTTTGTTTCTCCGTTTTCGGCCTTTAGAGGACCTCGCCAGGCCTCGGGGCCGTCAAAAAGCGACTCAGCCGTCAAAAAGCGCCAGGCGACGGGGCCCCCGGGAGCTCCCGGGGGCCCCGTACGGAAAAAAAGACGGCATCGAATCACTGAGGAAGTGGGCTCGGTAGCAAATCATGGAAGCCTGGTCTGCCATCTGGATTCAGGCTTTCGCGTCTATGAGCGCCGCTCAGCATCTGGGAGTGGATGAGATAGCGCCGAGTTCGCGTCGGTTGGCGTCGACTTTGCGTCGATCCGCATCGATTTGGCGTCGATTCGCAGGAGCCGACAAGATGGTACGGGAGGCTTCCAAGAGAGGCCGCCGGAGAGTGTGGGGAGGCAGGTCCGGCGCCGGCCCAAAGAACTCCGCGCTGGACCTCCGAGAGTCAGCGGACATGCAGTCTTGCTGGTCCTCTGTGGTCGCTTCTCCTCTTCTGGCTCGCCTTGTGCGGTGCGTCGTGTGGACCCGCATCCCTCGGGGGGAGAGGCCGCGCTAGCTGTTCACGCGGGCGACGGTGGGCACTTGGCCAGCCGACGCCAATCGCCTCCAGCGCTCCGGGGTCGTCGCCTCTAGACGGAGGGGGCACTTCTCCTCCTCCTCCTCCTCCTCCTCCTCCTCCTCCTCCTCTTCCTCCCCACTTCTCCTCCTCCTGCTCCTCCTCCTGCTCCGAGTCCTCCTTCCCTGAGACCCGACGTCACGGAACAAGGGGAATCGACCGTCTGGCCAGATTTAGGGCCCCGTTGGGGCCGCAGAGCCTCGTGCCATCATCGTCAGAACCGCTCCCACCTCCACCAGTCAGGAAGACAGTTATCGGGTCGGAGGAATGGGGCTGGGAGAAATGAAGGTATCCTCAGCCGTAGGCGTCCGAAGGTATCGTTCATCGCATCCGGATGTCAATACTCATACCCTGCATCCTCCCAACCCCTTCTTCCCAACATAATACCCGTAGATCCCATACCATAACTTTTTCAATACGGGGCCCCCAGGAGTCTCAACCCATTCGCCATGAATCAATGTTGTGATCTTAAGTCGGGCATGTTCCTCTACAGGGGGGATCTTCAAACATAAATAATCAACGAATAGTCTGGGGACGATGTTTTGGTTATTGTTTGATCACTGTTGGGTATTGTTTGAATGTTTACATTTGTCGTCGAACATCTGCCTGTAGGGGGACATGCCCGACCTAACACCAGGCAAGGGTGGGGTCGCCGCGACGCGGGCGTTGCCGTGGATCAGGAGGGAAACACACACAGACACAATTCATCGTCGATTCCCCAGAAAGTATGGGAAACTATGGGAAGTGGGGGGGGAAGACAAACGCCTAGAAACCATCGGAAAATAGGGCGAATCCTGTGATTCGTGTGTCTCTTCATTTGTGTGTCCCGGGGCCCCCTTCAGTGGAGCGGCGTCGGGGCTTCCGGGACGAGTCGGAGGGCAGCATGACGAGGAGGAGCGATGCACGAGGAAGAAGAAAGGGGGATGACGAGGAGTATCAGTAGTAGTAGTAGTTGTAGTAGTAGTAGTAGTAGTAGTCGTAGTAGTAGTCGTAGTAGTAGTAGTAGTAGTAGTAGTAGTAGTAGTAGTAGTAGTAGTAGTAGTAGTAGTAGTAGTAGTAGTAGTAGTAGTAGTAGTAGTAGTAGTAGTAGTAGTAGTAGTAGTAGTAGTAGTAGTAGTAGTCGTAGTAGTAGTAGTTAGTAGTAGTAGTAGTAGTAGTAGTGGTAGTGGTAGTAGTAGTAGTAGTTGCAGCAGCAGCAGCAGCAGCAGCAGCAGCAGCAGGAGGAGGAGGAGGAGGAGGAGGAGGAGGAGGAGGAGGAGTAGTAGTAGTAGTAGTAGTAGTAGTAGTAGTAGTAGTAGTAGTAGTAGTAGTAGTAGTAGGGGGCGGATGAGGAAGCGAGGATGGGCAGAAAGAGAGGAGGGCGATGAGGAGCTTCTCTACCTTCCGCTTTCTCACTCCAGTGACGCGCACAATGTTCGCGACGCTCTTTTTCGGCATACGCATTGTGCGCCGGTGTGTTGGATTCAGAATTGCTGCGGTTGCGGGAAACGAAGCGGGCCGCCTCAAGTGAGGAGGAGGATGCTATGGACGTTGGGGACGATGAGATGGACGATGAGGCAGATGAGGAGGAGGAGGAGGAGGAGGAGTAGGAGGAGGAGGAAAGATATCGGGAACATGATGGTGTGGAGGAGGATTGAGAGGATAGGTGAAGAGGAAGTGGCGGAAAGGACCAACAGCATGTGGCTAAGGAGGAGTAGGACATGGGGAAATGAGAAGGTGGATGACGAGGAGGAGTGGCTTGATGCCCGTCTGATCCTCCTGCTCCTGCTCCTCCTCATCCTCCTCCTTCTCCTCCTCCTCCTCCTCCTCCTCCTCCTCCCTTATTTTCTCATGAACGAAACCTTCCCAACAGCGCCTACCACATTCGGGAAGGACAGCTTTAGACGCATAGGATAACCCACCGCAGAAACAATCGAACTCGATGGCATCTCCGTCTCATCCTCCTCTTTCTCTTTCTCTTCCTCCTCCTCCTCCTCCTATTCCTCCTCCCTCGAGATCCGAAGTCATGACATACTCACATCACAGTAAATGGATGATGGCCAGTGCTCTCGAACTCATTGTTTCGCGACCCCAGGAGGAAGGGGGCAGGCGGAGATGAGGGGGAGGACGGCGACGACCTCTCGAGGCTCGAGGTTCGAGGATGCATGTCTTGGGCGTTGATGGTCCTTTCTTCTGGACCTCCTCGTTGCCATGGCGGGATTCCTTTTGAGATTCACGCCCACGTGTACCCCAGGAGGAAGGAGGTGGAGGAAGGGGAGTGGTTCGGGCTGCGCAGAGGTAGGGCCCCCACCCGAGGCCGTCCCGGCTGGCCACAACACCCCCCCCGAGCCGCCTTCGCCTTGGCGGTGGGGTCGCCTCGGCTCTTGTCGTCTCCCCCCTGCCTCCCCTCGTCCTCCTCCTCGTCCTCCTCGTCGGCTTTCGCTCACACTTGCGGGCCGGGTTTCGTGACATGTTCGTTGCATGCGTGCTGGCGCGCCGGAGAAAACACAATGTCCAGGGCGGTCTTGGCATGATGGGTTTGTTTTCCACCACCACCACCACCATAAGTTGGATGGGGGGGAAGGAGGAGGAGGAGGAGGAGGAGGAGGAGGAGGAAGAGGAGGAGGATGAGAAGGAGGAGGAAGAGGAGGAGGAGGAGGAGGAGGAGGAGGAGGAGGAGGACGAAGAGGAGGGACGAAGAGGAGGAGGACGAAGAGGAGGAGGAGGAGGAGGAGGAGGAGGAGGAGGAGGAGGAGGAGGAGGAGGAGGGCCCCCTCCCCCCCTCCCACTTCTGGTGGTGGTGGTGGCGCGACAGCGGGCCCCAGCAGGAGCGGGGCCCCGGCGCCCCAGCAGGAGCCACGGGGGCGGCCCCGGCGCCCCGCGGAGCGCCGCGCCCCCCGCGGCGCTCCGCGGGGGGGGGCGCGCGCCGTGCTGCCGAGGCCGCCCCCCCCCCGGGGCAGCTCGGCGGGCCTGCCGAGGCCAGCCCAAGCTGAAGTCTGGCCGGTTTTCCTAACCAAGATGAGTAGACAATCTCAAGGCAACGCAGCAGAAGTCTGCGCACTCGTTGTTTTATCAGCGCAAGGGCACTCGTTCAGAAGATACCGGTTTGGACGAAAAATAAAAAAGCCCACAAAATGGCCAACAGATGTTCCAAGAATAGTCCCCAGACTATGTTTTGACGATTCTGAATATTCCCCCTGCCAAAATACCCTCCAAATGCCCGGGGCGGTCTTGGCATGATGGGCTTGTTTTCCACCACCACCACCACCACCACCACCACCACCACCACCACCACCACCACAATAATTTGGATGGGGGGAAGGAGGAGGAGGACGAGGAGGAGGAGGACGAAGAGGAGGAGGATGAGGAGGAGGAAGAGGACGAGGATGAGGAGGAGGAGGAGGAGGACGAAGAGGAGGAGGAGGAGAAGGAGAAGGAGGAGGACGAGGAGGAGGAGGAGGAGGACGAAGAGGAGAGGAGAGGAAGAGGAGGAGGAGGAGGAGGAGGAGGAGGAGGAGGAGGAGGAGGAGGAGGAGGGCCCCCTCCCCCCCTCCCACTTCTGGTGGTGGTGGTGGCGCGACAGCAGGCCCCAGCAGGAGAGCCACGGGGGCGGCCCCGGCGCCCCGCGGAGCGCCGCGCCCCCCGCGGCGCTCCGCGGGGGGGGTGCGCTCGCCGTGCTGCCGAGGCCGCCCCCCCCCATGGGCGGCTCGGCGGGCCTGCCGAGGCCAGCCCGAGCTTCATCAATTAATCGTCGATTCCCCCGAAAATATGGGAAAATATGGGAAGTGGGGGGGAAGACAGAAACCCAGAAAATATGGGAAAATATGGGGACTATTTTTATTTGTGTGTATTTACTTGTGTGTCCTGGGGCCCCTTCAAAGCTCAAGTCTGGCATGTTTTCTTACAGGGGGATGTTCGGCGCAAAATAACAAAACAACAAAAAAAACCTTCAAAAAGCTCCAAAATGGCCAACAGATATTCCAAGAATAATCCCCAGACTATTTTTTGACTACTTCTGAAGATTCCCCCTGCCAAGATACCCTCCAAATACCCCCCAAATGCCCCCAAAATGTCCCCAAATGCCCCAAGATAGTCAAACAAATAGTCTGGGGACTATTCTTGGAATCTTTTTTGGCCACTTCGGGGGGCATTTTGGGGGTCCTTTTTTATTTCTCGTCGAAGCTCCCCCTGTAGGGGGACACGCCAGACTTGAGCCCAAGGCCTCCCTGTGTGGGCTGCCTGTGCGCAGCCCGGAGCCCTGCTTGGGGGGGGAGGTCTAAACCCAGACCTGATCGCGTCGTTTAAGAAACAAATCTGGACGCGAGGTTTTTCGCTATTTTTGGCCCCGGGGGGCCCTCGCTGGGCCTGGGGACGGTCAAAGAACGACTCGGGATGAAACTCCGGTCCCGGGGAAAGGGTCGGGACTTCCAGGGACCCCGTGCTGAAAAAATCAGGACGTCGTGCGGGGTGTCTGTGCGGGCAGTCGTCCATCGTTGGGCTTCCCATAATTCCGAATTACGGGAACCCAGAGGTTGCCAGATTCCCTCGGGGGTTCTGGCGACCTGTGGGTTTCTGGCCTGCGAATTATGGGAATCTGGCTCTGTGCGCAACCTGGAGCCCTACCAGGGGGGAGGTCTAGTCTGTGCGCAGCCTGGAGCCCTGCCAGGGGGGAAGTCTAAACAACTTCTGGACGCCTTGGACCCAGACATCGGGCGTCTCGAAAAAATCGAGACGGCGGTTTTTCGTTGTTTTCCACCTCTCGGGGTCCTCGCCAGGCCTCGGGACCGTCAAAAAACGACTCGGGATGAAACTCCAGTCCCGGGGAAGTGGTCGGGAAGTCGGTGGCCCGTGTCTCGAAAAAATCGAGACGTCGGATGTCTGGGGAAGGCGATCGTTTTCTCGCCCACTGTTTTACCGGCCGGCGCGGGCCCTCGCCCCCCCTCCCCCTCTTTCCCCCCGCCCCCTTGTGGAGCAGGTCTTGGCTGTTTTGTGGCGCCTGTCCCGAGCAGGTGGAGCCTCTCCCCCATACACTGTCGTTTTTTATACATGCTCCGCGTGCGGATCATGTATTAAAGATGCATGGATTTAGTGCTAAAAACAACGATGAGCTCATGCATAAGTTCATTCATAAACTAATCATGCATTAAAAAGTCAATATTTAAAAAATCCTATTATTAAAAACTGCCCTGTAGGACGCACTCCTTCAAACAGTCGCACGAAGCAGAGGTCCAGAGCCTGATCCCCCTCGCCCCCCCCTGCCGCCCCATGTCGAAGCGCCAGATAAGGACACGTTCACAACACAGCCGACAAAACCGCCGATATTTTCGAGCACGACGCCGCGACAACGGCGAGGACGGCGACGACAACACCTCCGTCCGCGTGGCAGTATCCATGTCGATCCGATCGATCAGGTGCGATATCGACTTCGACCGGCTCGAGCTGCCTCGATCTGGGTTTTCCAACGGTCCGATGCGTTCCGATGCTCGCATGACGCTGTTGTTTACCTGGCGTAGCCGATGCGATTCGATTTCGATTTCATGCCGATGCAGCCCGATCCGACGCACATTTCTTCAAATGCAGTCATAGGGGGCCGTTTGGGGATCCCTCCTCCTTCCCCCTTCATCTTCCCCCTCGTCCTTCCTCCTCCCTCCTCCCTCTTTCCTCTTCCCTCCTCCGTCCTCCCTCCTCCCTTCTCCCTCCTCCCTCCTCCACATCCTTCTTCTCTGGGGCTTCCGAGGCCGCCTGACCACGCTGGCAAGGCGATTGCTGGCTCTAAAACCGAGCTGCGCAGCTGGACGGCTGCAGCGCTCATGCCGGGCGCACAGCTGCGAGACCGGCAGTCCGTCGCCCGAGATCGCCGTACATGACGGAGCTCGATGTGCTGCCGAGCACGTGCCGCTTGCCTCGCACGCCGCTCTCCTCGGCCCCTCCTGAGCCTCTTTCCCCCCCTCTCTCTCTCTCTCCCTCTCCTGGGCGTGACGTGCTTCAGTATTCGGGCTCTGCCAGTGAGCAGTGCGCTCGCTCGGCGCTCTCTCATTCACGTGCTGTGTGTGCTTTGCGCATGCACTGCCCGCCACCCTTGCCACCATGGTTCGCCACGGCCGCCCACCGCGCTCTGGTCCTGCGCGCCTGGCTGCTGCTGCCCGCCGGCTGCTCATCGTCGAATTGTTCGGCGTCTGAGCGTCCCTCCTCCCTCTCGGCCTCTCCGCTCCCTCCTTGCACGCCGGCCAATTCGCTAGTTACTGCCCCTACCTAGCTGTTACGCTGGTGCGGATTTCGCCGCCTCGCCGCTGACGAAAAAAAGTGTTTTACACACGCTGCCTGCGGTGTCATCCCACCTCCCCCCCTCCCCCTCCTCCTCGACGAAAAAGTGTTTTGCGCACGCAGCCTGCGGTGTCATCCCGCCTCCCCCCCTCCCTCTGCTCCTCCTCCTCCTCCTCCTCCTCCTCCTCCTCCTCCTCCTCCTCCTCCTCCTCCTCCTCCTCCTCCTCCTCCCTCTCCCCCTCC